GATTCTGGGCAGAGCTTGGCCCTGGTGTCCCTCAGGAGCGATTTCCTCAGGAGTGATGTCCTTCCATCGCCTCCAGCGATGCTGAGACCACGGGAGGTGCAGGAAGGCTCCGTTGGGCTCAGGGCTCGAGCATCTGGAAGCAGCAGCAAGTCCCACTCTTCCCTCCTTTCCAGAGGATGTCATCTGGCAATGGTGGCCTGGTGCCACCATGATGGGTTCCCTGTGCCTGAGCAGCATCCCCATCCCTGTCCCCATGTGTCTTCTCTCCCCTGTGGCTCTCCATGACCAGCTCCAGGCCTGGTGCTCTAACCTGTCTCTTGGTCTTTGCCTCACTAATGTCTCTTGTCTCTGATCTTTTTCTCTCAAACCTGTGTCCCAACGGGATTGTTAAGATTCGGATTAACCGAGAAGTAAGTAGACGGTTCCTCTCTCCTCCCTTCTCTCTGCTCCTGTCTTCTCCCAGGCATCGTACCGGGCAGCGTGGTGTTAAATAGCATCTGGGAGAGGCAGGCTGGGAAAATGCGTGGATAAACTTGGGTATGGTCCAGGGAAAGGGAAAGTGAGGTCTCCATGGCATGTCCTCAGGGTGATGGGGACCATGCTCTTGGATGAGGGGTCGGATTCAAGTCACGTTAATCCCCCATGGAAGGACCCAGGGTGGATGAAGAAGCTGCCGTCACCTCTGCACATGCGACGTGGTTGAGCTCTGCTGGACCCGTGGCCAAGGGGCGGAACACCAGGTCCTCGGTCCCTTTGGCTGTGGCCTTGCTGGGATGTGCTCTGCTCTTTGGGCTGATGCATCCCTGTGAAGAGTTGGGAACGGCCCCAGTAAGCGGCTGGGATGGAGGAGGGGAGCGGAGCCATCGCCCAGCGTCATGTGGCTGTGGTGGGACGGGATATCATTAATCGCCGCACTCGGCAACGATGCCGGTGGCAGCAGGAGCCGGGGTCGAGCTGCTGGACCCCGGGATGCCCATGAGGTGCTGCCGGGAATTTTGGTGCAGAGCAGGGATGAGGGTTGGGGGGTTACATGAACTTTTTGTGGGATGTGGGACGTGTCCCCTCCCAGGACGGGGTGCACCAGGTACAGGGTGGCTGCTGAACTTCCTCCTCCTCCTCCTCCAGCAGTGGTTGGCACCGTGCTGGTAGCCAGGACCACCACGGTGTACCACCCCGTGGGCCGTGAGAGTCACCACCAGTTGGGTAACTGGGAAATGTTTTACGGGGCTGTGCCTCACTGTGTCCCCCCCAGTTCGGGACCGACATCTCTTCTTCCCTTGCAGGGCTACCACAGGTCCAACCACTTCATAGCCACCCAAGGTGAGTCACCTCCTCCTCCTGCCCCCTGTCTTTTTGGCTTAAAATGCTGCGAGGCTGTTTGTGCCGCAGAGGCAGGAGGAGAGACACATGGGCATCGCGGCGCTGCCGTGACTGGGTGAAGCCGGTGGTGCCCGTCCATCCCCGGTGGCCTTTCCTCCATCCCGCAGGGCCCAAGCAGGAGATGGTCTACGACTTCTGGCGCATGGTGTGGCAGGAGCACTGTTCCAGCATCGTGATGATAACCAAGCTGGTGGAGGTGGGCCGGGTAAGGACCTCATCCCAGCCCAATCTCTCCGGGCTCCAGCTCTACCAGGAGCCTCCTGTGTGAAGCCAAAACCCCGTCCTGTCCTCTCCTTGCAGGTGAAGTGCTCCAAATACTGGCCGGATGACTCCGAAATGTACGGGGACATCAAGATCACCCTGGTGAAGTCAGAGACGTTGGCCGAGTACGCCGTCCGCACCTTCGCTCTCGAGAGGGTACGGACCTGCTCCTGCCAGCCACGACCTGCCCGGCCGTGCCCTTGGGCATCTCTAACTGTGTTCAGACGGGCATCAACCAATACTTTGTTTATTTACCCTCCGTTCCACCCTGGCTGAGGTGCAGCCTCTGAGCCCTGGGGGTGCCGGTAGCTTCTCCCTTTGCCTTTTCCCTGGCTCCGTGCCCTCGGACGGGGCGAGCGGCTCAGCCCCACTTTGATTTCGGCAGTGAGGGAGTGTTTAATTTCCGTGGGGGTGCCGTGTAAGGATGATGGGGGTGAAGGATGGAGCGCGGGTTATGTGGCCATTACTCTCCGGCGCGGTACCTGGGGCTGAAGCTGGTGGGATTTACCCCTTAGTCTACAGGACTGAGAAATTACCGCCTACTTATAGGGCAGGTAGCAAAGATGCTAATGGAATGAGACCCGTGGCTGCTGCCTCCTCCTCCTCTTCCCCCTCGGCTGGTTTTTAACCCTCTTGCAGCCAAACAGGAGGGAGTTGCAGGGCTGCTGAAGCTGTATGGTCCATCTGGCTGAGTGCTGAGCTGGTAAAATCATGGATTGGGCCCCATGTGAACCTTGTGAAATTCAACAAGGCCAAGTGCAAGGTCCTGCACCTGGGTTGGGGCAATCCCAAGCACAAGTACAGGCTGGGTGGAGAATGAATGGAGAGCAGCCTGGAGGAAAAGGACTTGGGGGTGTTGGTTGATGAGAAGCTCAACAGGACCTGGCAACATGGCTTTGGATGAGGGTGTGGAGTGACAGGACATGGGGCAATGGCTTTGAACTGAAAGAGGGGAGATTTCGATGAGATCTAAGGAAGAAATTCTTCCCTCTGAGGGTGCTGAGGCACTGGACCAGGTTGCCCAGAGAAGCTGTGGCTGCCCCATCCCTGGCAGTGTTCAAGGCCAGGTTGGATGAGGCTTTGAGCAACCTGGTGTAGTGGAAGGTGTCCCTGCTCATGGCAGAGAGGTTGGAACTGGGTGATCTTGAAGGTCCCTTCCAACCCAAACTATTCTGTGATTCCATGATTCCCAAGAAAATGAGATATTTTGGGTGGCTTTGCCCTCCCTGTACACCCTCACCCCATCTCAACCTTTCTTTGCAGCGAGGCTACTCAGCCCGGCACGAGGTCAAGCAGTTCCACTTCACCTCGTGGCCCGAGCACGGTGTCCCCTACCATGCCACAGGGCTGCTGGCCTTCATCCGCAGGGTGAAGGCATCCACGCCGCCCGACGCCGGCCCCATCGTCATCCACTGCAGGTATGTGCGTGGCCATGGGGCAGAGCTGGCTCTGGGGAGTGGGGAATATTCCCCTCTGGGACGGGGTTTAGAGGGGTATGGATGACTCTGGGGGGAGCAGGCTGTGTCTTAGGTGGGTTCTCAGCCACTGGCTCTGAATGATGCTGAAAGCTCTGGATGATGCTAAAATATTCAGCAGGGAAACATAAAATATATAAATTAAGTTGGTAGCAAGGGAAGGCTGGGTGGCACGTCTGAGCGGGAGCGGTGGCTTTCCGTGTGCCCTGAGCAGGCATCCCCACGCGATGGGTTAATGGCTCTTCCTCCGCTGGGCAAACAAGGAGGAGCTGATGAGCCAGAGTCATTTTAAGTTTTTT